GCGCTAAGTTTAAAGTCTTCAGCCAGACTCAGTGCACTGACATGGCTAATGTGGTTCTAATAAAGAACAATCCTCAATCATCACCTCTCCATCATTAATGCCATCGACATAAGGTTTAAGTCTTTGGCCATTCACCTTAAAAACTTGTCCCCTTTTTGGGTTTCGGATTTCAACAGCTCCGTGAGGGAAAACATTAAGAACAATAAAAGGGTCATCCCATCGTGACCGAAGCTTCCCCGGAAAGAGGCGAAGCTTAGAGTTAAAGAGCCACACTTTTTGATTAGGAGAGAAAGACTTCCTAACAATGTGTTTATCGTGAAAAGCTTTAGTCTTCTCTATAGAGATGCGAGAATTCTCATAAACTTCATGTCTTAGCTCATCTAACTCCAAAAGTTAGAGTTTCCTATGGTCACCGGCCGTGGTCATATCAAAATTGAATTTCCTTGTGGCCCAATATGCTCTATGTTCAAGTTCTACAGGTAAATGACATGTTTTTCCAAAAATTAACCGATAAGGGGACATCCCAATAGGGGTACGATATGTGGTTTGATAGGCCCAAAGTGCATCATCCAGACGTACCGACCAATCCTTACGATCGGGCCATACCATTTTCTCTAAGATAGTCTTAATTTCCCTATTAGCACGTTCCACTTGTCCACTAGTTTGATGGTGATAAGGTGTGGCAACTCGATGGGTGATTGAGTACTTTTTCAATAGTGAGCCAAAGTGCCTATTGGTGAAATGCGAGCCACCATCACTGATGATGGCACGCGGATGACCGAAACGGCTAAAGATGTGCGATTGAACAAAGTTGACGACCACCCTGTGATCATTGGTCCTAATGGCAATGGCTTCTATCCATTTAGACACATAATTCACTGTAAGCAAGATATATTCAAAGCCAAAAGATGAGGGAAATGGACCCATAAAATCAATACCCCACATATCAAATACCTCCATAATCAAAATAGGATTCAAGGGCATCATATCTCGTCTACCAATATTTCCTACTTTTTGACATGAAGTACAAGCATGACAATAAAAGAATGCATCACTAAAAAGAGTGGGCCAATAAAAACCACACTGGAGGACCTTTAAAGCGGTCCTCTTGCCACTATAATGACCACCACAAGCATAAGAATGACAAAATGCAAGCACACTACTAAACTCGTGGTTGGGAACACATCTCCTAATTATCTGGTCTGCACACACCCTGAAAAGGTCTAGGTCTTCCTAAAAATAATGCTTGATGGTTACAAAGAAATGATCTTTCTGAGTTTTGGTCCACCTTAATGGTAATTGTCCTACGGCCAGGTAATTGACTATATGGGCATTCCAATGTGCTTTGGATTGGGATATTGCAAATAATTGCTCATCCGGGAAAGAGTCATTCAAACATTGACAAGGGATATATTCTATAAAGAGTCTAGACAAGTGATCGGCGACCACATTATCACTACCTTTGTTATCTTTGATTTCTAGATCAAACTCTTGCAACAACAAAATCCATCGAATTAGTCTAGGCTTAGCTCTTTCTTGTCTAACAAATACCTAACCGCAACGTGGTCTATAAAGACAACTATCCTAGACCCAAGAAGATAAGACTAGAACTTATCAAGGGAAAACACTACTGCAAGCAACTCTTTCTCGGTAGTGGTGTAATTACATTGAGCATCGAAGAAGGTCTTGCTTGCGTAGTAGATCACAACGGGTTTTTTATTCCCCCGTTGGCCAAGGACTGCACCAATGGCACAGTCCGACGCGTCACACATCACTTCAAAAGGTAGGTTCCAATCAGGAGGTTGTATGATGAGTGCTGTGGTCAACGCTTCCTTCAAAATGGTAAAGGCAATCATACAAGAGTCATAAAAAATAAATGCCACATCTTTATCAAGCAAATCACACAAGGGCTTAGAGATCTTGCTAAAATTCTGGATGAAACGCCTATAAAATCCTACATGGCCTAGGAAAGATCTAATTTGTTTGACCGATAAAGGCGGTGGTAATTGAGAAATCAACTCTACCTTTACCTTATTCACTGTTATCCCCTCCTTGGAAACTACATAACCTAAGACAATTCCCTCTTGAACCATGAAATGGCTCTTTTCCTAACTAAGAACAAGATTTGTCTCTCTACAACATTTCAACACCAACTCAAGTTTTTCGAGACAATCATCAAAAGATGCACCAAACACAGAAAAATCATCCATGAAGACTTCAAGGAATTAACCCACCATGTCAGAAAATATCGATAACATGCACCTTTGAAACGTTGCCAGCGCATTGCACAACCCGAAGGGCATGCGACGAAAGGCAAACGTACCAAAAAGACATGTGAACGTGTTCTTGGTCTTCGGGGGCAACTGGTACTTGGTTATATCCGGAATAGCCATCCAGAAAACAATAGAAAGTCTATCCTGCAAGTTTTTCTAGGATTTGGTCAATAAATGGGAGCGGGAAATGATCCTTCCTAGTGGCTAGGTTGAGCTTCCTCTAGTCAATGCAAACTCTCAATTCTATGGGAGTACGGATAGGAATTCGCTCACCTTTTTCATTTTCAACAACGGTGAGGCCACTCTTCTTAGGTACAACATGGGTAGCACTCGCCCATTGGCTGTCGGATATTGGGTAGATTATACCCGCATCAAGCCATTTGATCACCTCTTTCTTCACCACCTCCTTCATGTTCGGGTTTAACCTTCTTTGAGCTTCATGCACCGGTTTAGCATTCTCTTCAAAAAATATGCGATGCATACACAAAGAAGGGCTAATCCCTCGCAAATCGACTACCGACCAACCGATTTCTTCCTTATGTGCTGTCAAGACCGCCACTAATCTCTCATCTTGCTCACTATCTAAGTTGGCAGCAATGATCACGCGTAAGGTCTTGTTGGGTCCTAAGAAAATATACTTTAGAGTATCAGGCAAGGCTTTCAACTCTAAGACTGGTAGAGACTCAATTGACCTCGGTTGTGTCGTCTTAGACAAAGGTGGTAAGGTTTCATACTTGATGTTCCAAGGTCGACGCTCTAGAGTGGGCGACCTAGCCATATACGCACTAACCTCCTGAATCTCAGACACGCCACTCAAGCTAGATATCTCCCCAACAAATGGATTCATAAGAGTGTAAATTGCATCATCACATAACATCTGTGGGGCGTGAGCCTCCACTAGACTATCAATAGCATCAACCATGAAACAATCATTATCGCCCTCACGCATTGGTCCTAAACCAGCATTAAACACATTAAGTCTCAGTTTCCTATTCCTAAAAGACACTTCCATCTCTCCTGATCTACAGTTAATGCACGCATTTGCCGTAGCTAGAAAAGGTCTCCCTAAAATAATCGGTGGCATACTTCTACTGTTCGTATACTCCATGTCTAAGACAAGAAAATCCACCAGAAAATATAGTTTCTCAACCTTAACTAACACGTCCTCAATTAGGCCACTAGGTATTTTGATCGATCGGTCAGCTAATTGCAGGATGACTTTAGTAGACTTGAGCTCACCTAAGTTAAACTGTTCATACACAGAAGTGGATAATAAGTTCACGCTCGCCCCTAAGTCTAAGAGTGCTCTATCAATCGTGACATTAACTATCACACAAGAAATAATAGGAGCTCCATGATCCTTTAACTTCGGGGGAAGGCGGTTTGAGACAACCGCACTTACATTTTCTGGTAAATGTATAGTCTTGGATGTGTGAGATTTCATTCGCCTCTTTTACGTGCACAAGTCTTTGAGGAATTTGGCATAAGCAGGTACTTGCTTAATAGCATCTAAGAGTGGAATGTTAATCTGCACCTGCTTATACAACTCAATCATTTCCTCTATCCTAGCGCTTTTCCTCATAGTGGGAACATTGAGGGGCTCTAAGCACCGAGGAAAGAGTGCTCACGGTATGTACGATGCAGGGGATGGTTCATTCTCCCCAACTTTCTCCTTACCCAGTCTCTGAACACTTGACTCTACAAGTGGCTCACTCTCACTCTCTTTGGCTTGGTCCCTACCTAGACTTTCCTCTTCTCTACCCTGGACTTTTACTTCCCTCTCAGGCTTAATTAGCTCTCGACCGCTCCGAAGAGTCATCACGGCCTTAGCTTGTTCGAAAAACCCTCTCTGTTGAGAAGAACCACTAGGGTTACCTATGACTTGACTAGGCAATTGGCTTTGTTCCCTCCTATTGACTGCTTCGACTATTTGACCAATTTGGGTCTCTAGCTTACTAATGGATTGGGAATGAGAATGTAGAAGTTGGGTATTCTGCTTTAAATCTTGGAACCTAGCATTCATGTCGGCTTTTTGTTCCTGCATGGTTTGGAGCATTTGAGCCATCATTGATTCTAGTGAACTAGGCACTGGAGTGGGTTGCTGAACAAGAGGTGGGATCCTAGGTTGGATGGGTGGTTGGATTGAAGGTTGCTCCCTATAACTGCCTTGCTGATTGGAAGGATAGTTCCTATATGGCATATTATTGGGGACATTCTGAGGTGGTTGTGGCTTCCATGAAAAATTAGGGTGGTTACGCCACCTAGGATTATACGTGTTCGAGTACAGATAGCTTCATCTCTGGAAGCCTTGTGCAACCTGCACTTGCTCCTCAAAAGGGTCAGGGGCGGGCTCCTCAATTGGATGGTCAAGAGTGGAGTGCATGGAAAAAACATCCTGGTTCGCCCTATTCTGAGATGATCGTGTAGAGGGTTGCCCTTGTATAGATACAAACTTGTCAAACCGGTGGGCCAACACCTCTAACTTGGAACTAATGTCATCTAATTGTGACACCTCATACACATCACCCCTCTTAGATGGCTACCCTGAGATAGGCATTCTAGACGCAGAAATGTGGTGCCTTGAATTTTCACTTTAAGGTCTCAAAGAGTTGCCATAACTCATTCTTGTCCTTGTGCATAAATGTTCCTCCACAAGAGGCATCTACCACATTCCTATGCCTCTTGGTCAGTCCATCATAAAAACTATGAACTAATTGCCACCTAGGGACTGCGTGATGGGGACACTTCCTAAACATTTCCTTCAAACGCTCCCAATTCTCATAAAATTCCTCGCCATCTAGTTGAGTGAAACTAGTGATGGCTCGTCTTATACTGTTGGTTTTACCAATGGGATAATACTTTTTTAGGAATCCGTGTTGCATTTGGGCCCAAGGGATAATGGACCCTGCTGCCAAAGAATTGAGCCACTGTTTGGCTCGATCCTTAAGTGAGAATGGGAATAAAATTAAGCGCACGACATCTTCATTCACATGTTGAAGTCTAACTGTGAAGCAAACCTCTAAAAATTCATCTAAGTGTTTGTATGGCTCCTCATTTAATTCCCATAATAAATTTGCAGTAATTGGATGACACTAGTTTTGATCTCATAGTGTTGTGTCTGGACATTGGGGATACGGATATATGAGGCTGAAGTGTAGGTGGTGGGTGCGAAATGTTGGCTAAGGGGCACATGTGCGGGTTCATTCTGGTCAGCCATCCTACGTGCTTGTTTTCTATTCCTCTTACAAGTGCGTTCAATTTCAAGATTCAAAGGTAATAACTCTTCGTTACAAGACCTTCTAGTTTGCATTCATCAACTAAACACACAAAACGCTCAACAAGCAACGCAACAACAATCTCAAAGAAAATTAGCTAAATGCAAATCCTAAGAAACAAATTTTAATAAGCACACGAAACAAAATTAAAACAAATCTAAAATCTAATAAAACTATACCCAACAAAATTTCACACAACAAATACTCTTAATCAAAACTAAAGTTATCAATGCAACCTAAAAGAAATTAATACTAAGAACAAAAATTAAATCCTAGGAATAAAAACAAATTATGCAAAATAAGGCAAAAGCTATTCCTAATTAATCAAAATGACTAAAAAAAACGAAGTTAAGAGAATTTCACAATTGGGTCGTGCTAGATCTTCAATGCTCATGACACGTTGCAGCTTTTTCCCAATTGCAATTTTCCTTCAAAACAAAAACAAACACAAATGGAACTATTCCAACGAAAATAAAATGAAAATGAAATAAAACGAAGTAAAAATGAAATTAAGCCAACAACCTAAAAAGAAAATAATTAACCAAAATGCAAAGAGACAAACCAAACGGAACACAAAAATTAAACAATTCACCCAAACAAATAATCACTACAAAGAAAATAACACAAACAAAAACAACAACTAAAATAAACCTAGAATAAAAACTAATGACTACCCAAACACACAAGGTCAAAAGCACGTTGCTTCCCAGCAACGGCGTCAAAATTTTGTCGAACTGGTCATCACAGTCACAAAATTAAACCTAAATACTGTAGTTAGCGGTAAGCAGGGTCGAATCCACAGAGAGCAAGACTAACAACCTAATGTATTTTCAGTAGCGGAAATGAAATTGGCAATGTGATTAATTAAAGTAAACAAACTAAATGCAAATAATAAAAGCGTGAAATTAAAACAAATGAAGACTTTATAATAAAAATGTTGCCGTTACGGTTTTGGTTCGACACGAGACCGACTCACACAATTCTCCTCCACCCTCTACGATCCCTTAAACCTACAAGGCAAGGTAAATCAATGAAATGACTTCCCAACACTCTAGGTATAATCTATCCTATCTCACCCGATCACTCAAGTTCGATTGGTTAAAGACTATCATTGAACGCCAATAAACGCTACACGACAATACCACTGGTTGGTATGCGATTAACAAAGACAATTTGTCAACACGTATCTTCCAATCAACCAACTTCACAATAAACGCAACAACAGTAGAAATGAAATTAAATCCGAACACAATTCAATTACAATCGATGCGAAGTAATGAAAAGCAATATTCATCATTCAATTATTTCAAACCAACGTTTCTCATTCAGCAAGTTCTATGAAAACAGTAAATCACAATGGACAACAATATTCATCACAAATTATGCTCAAATCATATTAAAGTATCGAAATCAAACATGAAACGAAAACAAATATAATTCAACACACAATACTACCAAATGTCCTACAATCGGGCTCATCCAACTAGTCGAGAGCTGATGAGCAGAGTCATGGAGTCAATCTCGATCTCGCCTATGCCGTACCAGACAATCAGGACTCAGTCGCTCATGGTGGTGATGACGGAGGCTAAAACGGTGGAAACGAAGTTGATCATGGCGGAGAGGAAGTAACCGATAGCGATATAATACGAAGAAGGGGCGAAAACGACCAACGAATAGCCCAGAATACGAACAGTCACACTCGCTGGAAAACGTTAATTTTCTAGAGGGTCTTCCTGAATATGGTGGCGGAAATGGGATCCGAAGGTACCGATGGAAAGCTCTAGTGATGGGGAGTTCAGATCAGGTCCTAGGGAGATGAAAGGTTGCTGGAAATGAGCGAGATCACAGCTGGAAGATGAAGAGGCGCGGCGACTAGATGGCGGATTCCGACGGTTTTGGCGGCAACTGAAGCTTGGAAGTGCTAGATCCGACCGTGGGGAAGGAAGATCAACCACCAGGAAGCTGAAACGTCACCGAAAACTAGAGAAATCATGGCTGGAAGATGAAGAGTCGCATCGGCGGAATGCGAAACGTGGCGGCGGTGGTGCGTGATTTGTGGTGGTGTTCGTCGGTGCAAATGGAAGATGAAAGGTCGCCGGAGGTCGCCGAAAATGGGAGAGGAAGAGTCACCGAAAAAACTATGGATGGGTGTCGGCGCTCCCCCCTGTAACGCGACCTTTCGTTTTCTTTTTATAGAGAAACTACAAAATATCACTTTGGTCCCTGCACGATTGAAAAAGTGACAAAATCAACCCTTGTAAATATGACAGTTTACCCCCTAAACAGCATAAATGAGACAAAATCACCCCTAATCCATAAACCACAACCTAATATCAACTCATATCCTTTCCAAAATCATTCCAAACAGGTTAAATTCATGAGAAAATATTAGGAAGCGATTTTCGTGAATAAATTCATAAATTCTTTAATTGTCTCAATATACTTCAATTTAATCACACTTGGGGTATTTTTATCACCAAAATAGAGTCACTTTCATGACTCTAACACTAACCTTATAGTTTTCCATGCTAGCAACACTAGGAACAATACACTGTCCCTTTGGCATAATCGCCTAAGACACCCTCATACTGATGTGTTAAGTAAAATTTTACCTCACATTCACCCACGACCTTCAGAACCCATTTCATCCTTGAGTTTTTGTGATACATGTAGACTAGGAAAATTACATAGAAATCATTTTCCTAGTTTAACCTCTAGAGCTACACAACCCCTTGAAATTGTTCACAGTGACATTTGGGGACCAGTACTAGTAGCTTCATTAGAAGGTTTTAAATACTACATTCATTTCATTGATGACTATAGTAGGTTCACCTGGATGTTTCCCTTAAGAACCAAAGCTGAAGTTCAATCCACTTTCATCAAATTTCACCATCTTGTTGAGAGACAGCTTGGACATAAACTTAAAATCTTATAGTCTGACTAAGGAGGAGAGTATAGAGGTCTAATACCTTACCTTACCACTATTGGAATCCAGCTTAGGCATTCCTGCACTCATGTGCACCAACAAAATGGGAGAAGTGAAAGGAAACATAGACATATAGCAGAAATTGGCCTTACCTTACTAGCCCATGCATCCATGCCTTACATTTTTGGTGGTGTGCATTTGATACTGCTGTTTTTCTTATTAATAGAATGCCTACCTCAGATTTGAGTTTTCTGTCCCCATATCAGGTTCTTTACAGTAGGTTTCCTGTATATTCTAAGTTAAAAAATTTTGGTTGTGCTTGTTTTCCATTCTTGAGAGATTTCAATAAACACAAATTGCACTTCCACTCTTCTAAATGTGTTTTTCTGGGTTATAGTTTTGTTCATAAAGGTTATAAACGTCTTAGTTTAGAGGGAAAAAATTTCATTACTCCTACTGTTCAATTCAATGAACTTGAGTTCCCTTTTGCTACTGGTTTTGGTCACACCTTGTCCAGTTCATGTTCTCCTTTACTCAAAGCAGCAGTCCCTAATAGTTCCCCTACTATTTTTCCTTTTGTTTCTATTCCATTCTCAAATGGTACAACCAGTAAAGTCTCCCCTGTAGTGGACTGCTCTGTTCCTAATGCTTCCTTCACTACTAACAACTCAGTTCCTAGTTCCTCATTTCAGGATATGAATACATACATCTCTAATCCATCCATTCCTAATCCATCCTCTAACATCAACAACTCAATTTCAATTACTCCATCTAACAACCTCAATAACTATACTTCTTCATTACCGAATCCTACTTCTATTCCACACACTTTTCCCTTAGAAGTAGATCTCTGTTGTTATCATCCTTCTCTTCACAATTCAAAGGTCCAAAAGTCTTCTATATCTTCAGATTGTCCACAATCAGCCCAAAAACACACTGATTGCTCTCTTGTAGTTGACTTAACTCCATCACAACGTCTTTAACCTAAAAACCTTAACCATGCACCTGAATTCTTTCCTTCGATTACTCATAACCAACCTACAAACCAGTCCCTAACCACTAACACTCACCCCATGCTCACCAGGTCCAAAACCAGCAACCCAACTACAACTGCACTTACCCTGACCAAGTTTTTACCTATTCAACCAAAATCTGTTACAGTGAATAAAGCACCTGAATTCCTTTCTTTTGTTACTTATAACCAACCTAAAAACCAACTCCTGACAACTAATACACACACCACACTGACCAGGTCTAAAACCAGCAACCTAACCTCAACTACACTTACTTTGACCAATTCCTTACCTGTTCAACTAGAACCTATTACAGTGACTGAAGCTCTTGCTTGTGATGAGTGGAAAAAGGCCATGCAAGATGAGTTTGATGCTCTTATTAGGAATGAAACTTGGAGTCTTGTTCCTTGAACTTCTGATATGAAATTAGTTGGTAATAAATGGGTGTTTCGAACCAAATTTCATGTTGATGGGTCTCTCCAGAAATACAAGGCCAGATTAGTTGCTAAAAGATTTCAACAAACTCCTAGCCTAGATTATTTTGAAACTTTCAGCCCTATTGTTAAACCAACAACTATTAGAATTATTTTCACATTGGCTGTCACTTATGGTTGGGATAT